ACTGTGTGACATTGTTGGACTGGATGGGCCATTGGCCTGATCCAACATTGTCTTCTCTTCTTAAGTAATAACAACACTCCGCTTAGGACTGATAAGTCATGAAAGATGAGGCATGATGTACTGAAGGTAAGTTATAAAAGTGAGTGAGGGTAGAAGGACAGTGGGATAGTCTAGTTTAGCCAAGATAATTTAAAGGAGATGTGTTAACAGTTTAAAGATATTTGAATCATGATCAAAAAGAATGAAAGAAAAAATTGTTGACCATATTCACGACGGTCAGGATATGAAACAGTTGGTTTTGATTACAGGAAGGAGTTCAGCAATGGCACCAAACTGCAGAGGGATTTCTCAGTCTCCTTCCTTGGAACTTTAGCTGTTCCTTTAGAGAGCCATCAGTTTGAAAGAGGGGATATACTGCTTGCAATGTATATCATCATGTCAGGTCCCTTTCACATGGGCTCCTTTAATCTGCTTTGGCTTTAATCTGCTTGTTGTGAGCCGCCCTGAGCCATCCTAGGTCGGAATGGGTGGGATAGAAATCAATAAAATAAATAAGTAAATAAATGAAAAGGGTTCCCACGCATTAAGGATAGAATACTGCTTTAAGGATAGAATACGCCTTGCTTATTTAATATATATGCAGAGTATATCATGCGAAATGCTGGCCTAGATGAATCACAAGCGGGAATTAAGATTGCTGGGGAAAAGATCAACAACCTCAGATATGCAGACGATACCACTCTAATGGCAGAAAGTGAAGAGGACCTAATCTTGCACAGGGTAAAAGAGGAGAGCGCAAAAGTGGGCTTGAAGCTCAACATCAAAAAAACTAAGATCATGGCATCCGGCCCCATCACTCCTTGGCAAATAGAAGGGGAAGTTGTGGATGTAGTGACAGACTTCACGTTCCTGGGATCCCAGATCACCGCAGACTGTGACAGCAGCCATGAAATTAAAAGACGCCTGCTCCTTGGGAGGAAAGCGATGGCAAACCTAAACAGCATGATAAAAAGTAGAGACATCTCCCTGCCAACAAAAGTCCGCATGGTCAAAGCAATGGTATTCCCAGTAGTCATGTATGGCTGCGAGAGTTGGACTATAAGGAAGGCCGAGCGCCGAAGAATAGATTCTTTTGAACTATGGTGCTGGAGAAGACTCTTGAGAGTCCCTTGGACTGCAAGAAGATCAAATCAGTCAATCCTAAAAGAAATCAACCCTGACTGTTCCCTGGAAGGCCAGATAATGAAACTGAAGCTCAAATACTTTGGCCACCAAATGAGAAGGGAGCACTCACTGGAGAAGTCCCTGATGCTGGGAAAGATTGAAGGTCAAAGAAGACGGGGACGGCAAAGGATGAGATGGTTAGACAGTGTCATAGATGCAACGAACATGAAATTGAGCAAACTTCAGAGGATGGCGGAAGACAGGAGGGCCTGGCGTGATCTGGTCCATGGGGTCGCGAAGAGTCGGACTCGACTGTGCGACTGAACAACAACACTGTTCTCTCACAGTTAATGTGGTTTTAATCCAGATTTTCTAAAAACTGAATTGATTCAGTTTTGGGTGTTTTGCACTTTATCTTTAAGGTGTATAAAACCTTTAAAAAAGACTGCCTATGGAAGCCGAAGCGGGTTTAAAGACCCATATGAAATGGGCCTCACTATGGCAAACAGTTTCTTTTGTATTGCTTAAACAATCTGCACAAGTACCTACTGAATCGTTTAAATATATCACTCTTCTCTTCTTGAATGACTGGTTATGTACAGCAAGGGGCTCATGGGAACCCCCAGATACAACAAGGCAGAGTGACAGGATGCAAGCTACACAGGGTTACCAACAGCCTGGAGGAAAAATGTCCTCCCTTTAGTTTTAACAGAGGCTTAATATGTGGAAATAGATTCAGGTGGGCAGCCATGTTGGTCTGAAGCAACAGAACAAAGCTTGAGTCCAGGGGCACCTTTAGGACCAACAAAGTTTAATGCTGGGTATAAGCTTTGGTGTGCATGTACATTTCTTCAGATAACAGTGAAACAGATTTCCTCAAGCCTTACATATAGGTAGGGGAGGCTGGTTAGTTGCCAGGAAGGCCTAGTTAGAGTCAAGATGCATAATTACCTGGGCAATAAGTATAGCTGAGATTGGATTAAAGCAGTTGGTAAGGCCTGTGAATGGCAGCAAATTAGCATACAAACACAAGAATTAACAAACAGATGTGAGAACTAAGTTCTGCATTCATCCGCAGTTAAGGAGAAAAGCAGGGGGTGGGGTTAACCCCATTGCTCCTTGCAATAAAAGCAATCTTGTGGCACATAAAAAAATCAAAAGATGTATTGCATAAGCTTTTGATAGGCTAGATAAAGTGGGCTCTAGTACACAAAAGTTTCAAGACACCTGGTATAGTGTCAGACTAGGCCCTGGGAGGCCCAGGTTCAAATTCTCGCTCTTGCCCTGAAACTCACTGGGCCAGTCACTCTCTTTCAGCCTAACCTGTCTCAAAGGATGGGACTGGTAAGAGTCAGCTCTAGATTATTTTAAATGGATTATTGTGAATTAATATGATTTTTACGCTGAAACAGAATAAAACCACCACCATATTCTAGATTATATCTTGGTCTAAAAACTGTACAACAAAAATCACCGATCCACTACACTACCCTATGGGGCAAAAACATGGATCCAAGGCACGGATCCTCATGTTTTTTTTATGTAGGGTCACCCCAAACTCACATTCAAATTACACATCACATCCATAGCCACAGATTGTACCACAGAAATCACAGATCCACTGGTTTGTGGTGCCACCATTGCACAAAAATATTATGGACCCTCACGATTTCCATTTGGAATCACAATAAACTCAGCATCACATCACAAATCATGGCCATGGCCACAGACTGGAAACAAAAAAATCCACTCAGGTATTTTGTGGCACTACCACAGTTCCAAAACATGGATCCTCATGATTTTTATCTGGGTCACCCAAAACTCACTATGAAATCACTCCTAATCTGCGTTTTTTTGTGGTGCTGTCTGTAGCCATGGATATGATAGGGAATTTGGGGTTAAGTGGTTAAGACGCTGAACTGCAGGCTGTGGAAGGTGGGTAGTTCAGCAGTTCGAGACCCGAGTGTGCCACATGACAGAGTGAGCTCCCGTCTCTTCCAGCTCCTGCCAACCTAGCAGTTCGAAAGCAAGAAATTACAACTAGATCTTCAGTGGGAAGGTAACAGCGTTCCGTGCGCCTTGGTGTTTAATCATGCCGGCCACATGGTCACGGAAACGTCTTCGGACAGCGCTGGCTCTTCAGTTTGGAAACGGAGATGAGCACTGCAACCCTAGAGTCGGACTTGACTGGCTTTTGAGCAAGGGAACCTTTATCTTTAAAAAGCCCCACAGAAATCCATGTTTTTTAGAGTTTCCAGCTCTGGGTTGAAAAATACCTGGAAATTTGGGAGGATGAAACCTGGGAAAGTTGGGGTTTGGGAAGGGGAGGGACCTCAGCAGGCTATAATGCCCTAGAGTCCACCCTCCAAAGTGGCCATTTTCTCCCAGTGAACTACTTTTTATCAGTTGGAGATAAATTGTAACAGCAAGAGATCTCCAGCCACCACCTGGAGGTTGGAAACCTAAATGTCCTTGCCATATGGTGGTGCCACAATTTTTTTTGTGATGTAGTCTGTGGCCATGGATGTGATGAGTGATTTGATGGTGAATTTGGGATAATCCCACATAGAAGCCATGCAGATCTATGAGGATCTGTGGTCTGGCTCCATGGTTGGTTTTTTTCTTCGATAAGAGGTGCCACAAAGGGGTGAGTCATTTCTGTGGTTCAGTCTGTGCCATTGCAGGATATGTGATGGTGAGCTTTTGGTGCCCCTTCTTTAAAATCACGGGGTTCCATCAAGTTCTGTGCTTTGGATCCATGTTTTTGCACCATGATGGCGCCACAAAATAATGGATCAGTGGTTTTTTGGTTCAGTCTGTGGCCATATGTGATTTGATTAGGAGTTTTGGGTGTCCTCATGCAAAAATCATTACAATCCATGTTGACTCTTGCCTCAGATCCATATTTTTTGTACACCATGGAAGTTCCACAAAGCAGTGGATGTGTTAATTTTACACTGCTTTACTTCCTATTGACCACGAGATGAGTTACCATGCAATGGTGTTTATGTTTTGCATCAATGAAAGAAATCATATGAGTTTATGAGGCACCATACCTGGTATCCATGTTTTGCATTACTGATGTGCGGCAAAGGGATCAATGTGTTTTTTATGGCTCAATCTGTAACCCTGGCTTTCACATGTAATTTGATGTTGGATTGTGGGAGGTTCTGTTAAAAAAAAACTAGAGGATCCGTCTTTTACTTTCACCCCAAAGGACTGTTGGGAGGGTAAAACAGTTATTTTGCGTTCGTTGGAGGAAACGGGGTGTGTGTGTAAAAACGTACCAAATAAATCAAGATAAGGTGCCATAAAACTTCTATTTTAGATTTGGTTTCTAGATAGCCTCCAGTCTCACCAGCCACCTCTCGTTGTAAAAAAAGTATACACTGTCCTTGTACCTTATCGCAATTTCTGCTCCTACCGCCAACGTTTCAGGTACTTATAAACGACCACGCAAGACTACAGTTCTCAACAAGGTCCACAGCAGGGGTGTACTAAAAGGAAAGACATGATTGCCCACGCCATATGCTGTCGGAAACGCCGGGGTTATACTCATAACCTGCTGAGGACACGTGGTAAAACAAAAAAAGAAGAAGCGACGGACTAGAACCCTCACGGCCTCCGTCTAGGTATCGAATGATGCAACCACAAATAAAGGTTGCGCCAATTGCAAGCTGGCATAGCGGTCGAGTTCCGCCTTCTTAGTATCCGATAGAACGAGATGAGAGCGTGCCTACACCCCCTAGTGTTCTGATTGGCTGCGTTGTTAACGCTCTGATACTTGGCCAGGCAATACCACGTTTGATCGTTTTTTTTCTTGCCGAACAAGCCACGTGGGCGGCATCAGGTTTGTGCTCAGGAGAGCATCTTGGTCCTAAGGGGAGGCTGCCGAAACAGACGGAGTGTGCAAACCAGGAAAGGTATCAGATCGAGAAAAAAAGTAGCTGAAGAAAGAGAGGCGGGTTGGGGCCTTTAGTATTCATCTGGAAAGAACGGAAGAAACAATGGGGAGCAAAATGGGGCAGGAGAAGGGTGGAAAGTACCAGATGACTGAACGGTGATGACATTAAAAACTGTGTGATAGTATCGAAATTTAACAGTGAAACTTTCTTTTCTTATCCTCTTCATCCCCCAGTTGTTGAAACCATGAGTGTGGGGTTCATCGGTGCTGGACAGCTTGCCTTCTCTCTGGCCAGGGGCTTTACTGCAGCAGGTAGGCAGGGACCAGGGTGCCCATAAGTAAGGTTTTGGTGTTAAATACTGACTGCAAAGACCACTTTCAGTGGGATTTTTGCAGATTTATTTATTTATATATTTCAGTTTATACCCCGCCCTCCCCGCGGAGATGAAAGTATATTTGTCTAAACAGGATTAAAACTTGTTCTAGTAAAGGTTTCCTTTGTTCGAGAGCCAGTCAAATCAGACCCTAGGGGGTGGTGCTCATCTCCATTTCCAAGCTGAAGAGCCAGCGCTGTCCGAAGACATTTCCGTGGTCATGTGGCTGGCATGACTAAACTAAGGCACATGGAATGCTGTTATCGTCCCACTGAAGCGGTACCTATTTGTGTATGCCTTTCTGCCTGTCAGCTAGTGTGACCCTGGAGTGTTCTGGATACCACATTAATGAGCAGAACTTGACTCTGGTGCTTGAAAGGAGCTCTTTTTGCTAGTATTCTGCAAGAGTCAGATGCAAGCCTTGGGTTAATCTTATACTTGATTTTAAAGTGTACATATGTGTGCTAGGTTGGTTTGTAATGAAATTCCAGCCATAATGGTATCCTTGATAAATCACCACCCTCTCCAGAATAACTTGTTCCAGAATGAAGTATATGCATTGTTGGCAAAATGCTAATTGCTGAGAAGCAAAAATAGGAGGTATGCATTGTGAGCGTGTGTTCATATTAACCTTCATGTGCTGAAATGGTCAGGTTGTAGTAACTACTGCAACAAGAACTTGGGAAAAGGCCCAAAAAAGGGCTTACAGGGCTGCCTTACAGTTAACATGGACCCAAGGAAAAAATGATTGCTATCTCCTCATGAGAAGATTCACAAGAAATGAAGCAATACAGCTAAACCCCAAAAGAATACACCTCTGACTACAGAAAACCCACAAACATTGCAAAATACAGTTTGTGTCTTCTCATAAAGAAGTATAAAGATTTTCTGAGATAAATGTTTATGGCATGTTTTCTAGGCATTTACTTATTGGTATGTTTTTCCTTTATAGTGATAGAACCATTTTTCAGTTGTAAAGGTGGAGGGACACCCCCCTCCCTGAATTAGCTGGGTTTCTTAAGGTGAGGGGTAACACAACCAGTGTTTCCACAAACAATCTTGTGTAAAGGATGTGCTGAGAAGAGTAAAGGATGTGCTGAGAAGAGAAAGTACAAAGCAGAGAGGTGATAATACTAGAATAATAGTTGAAAGTCCCAAACCAAAACTGAAGATTTCTTTTTTCCCCCTCCAGGGATCTTGGCTGCTCATAAGATCACAGCAAGTTCACCAGACACTGATCTCCCAACAGTGGCAGGGATGAGGGTAGGTTTTGGATCCTGTAAAATCTAAAATGCCTCTTACCCATCCCCTGGGAGGGCGGGGTAGAAATCTGATAAATAAAATAAATCCCCTAGTTATGAAATACATGTCTTGATTTATTTGCACCAGCTGTCTTTTTAATTCACTATCTCTGTTTTGGGGGCTGAAATTCCCGCTGAAGTGGGACATGGCCATTGACATGGGTAGGAGCTGTGGCTCAGTGGTACAGCATCTACTTTGCATATATAAAGTCCAAGGTTCAATCCCTGACATATCCACCTAAAAGGATGAGGTAGTAGGTGATATGAAAGATCTCCACTCGAGAATGAATGGATGTGCATAAACAAACACTCAGGGCTGCCTTATACAGAATAATACTATTGGTCTATCAAGGTCAGTAGTGCCTTCTATGACTGGCAGTGGCTCTTCGTATTCTTCAACTATGGACAGAACAAGAAAAACAGAAACTAGAGCTAAAGTATATTATATGCAAATGTGTATAACTGCAGCTCTTTTAGTGTTAAAGATGCTTTGGGAGTGGGCTATTGATCGCTTAGAATCAATGGGTTGGAGGGAGTTTGTAATATTTTGTGTCACTTTCTGTTTCCCTGCTTACTCCAAGTGGCTTTGTCCCCTGGCAGATTTCTGCAAGGGTTGTGGGGAGGGACTGCTCAGGAGGAAAAGTTTACACACGTCCTTGCCCAACCCACAGCGTATCAACAGTTAACTGACTCTTCCCAAAGCAACTTTTCAAGCTAAAAACTTCTATTGGGCTGTGTCTGTTTCTGTATACAATGTGTGGGTTGGTCCTAGTTTGTAACTTTGAGGCGGGCACTTGGAAACTAATTGATCTCATCCAGTATCTAAAGTCTTGAGTTGCTGAACTTGTGTGAGGATTTAACCTCCAGCTCTGCCTCCTGCATGTTGTGCCCATTTAATATTTAAATGGCAAAGTCCTGTGACCTTGATGGTCACTGACATGGTGTGTGTTGAGCTTGCCTGGTTTCTGCATACCAAGTAAACAGTATTGTACCCAGTTCTTGGCTGAAATCCCCTATCTAAATCCTCCCGCCTGTGCTTTTTAAACAGAGTTCAAGGAACATTTCACCGGTTGTTTTCAATTGTATATTTGTGGTTCTCCCCCTAGAAAATGGGTGTGAATTTCACCATAAGTAACAAAGAGACAGTTAAAAACAGCGATGTCCTATTTTTGGCTGTGAAACCTCCCATTATTCCATTTATTCTGGATGAAATTGGCTCGGACATAGAGGATCGGCACATCGTGGTCTCATGTGCTGCTGGTGTCACTATCAGGTCTATTGAGAAGGTGAGAATCTATAAGGCCTGCCTGACAAATCCATTCATGTTACATTGAGGGTGAATAGTGGGTAGTCAACAAACTGCCTTTGGGAGCCGAAGGAGTAAGGTGGCAGCAGTTCTATATGTTTAAACACACAAAGGGAGGGGGCTGTGTGTTCAGTTGTAGGAGCAAAAAGGATATGTGGGAGAGGAGTGCAGAATTCTTCCCCAGACCCATATCATGTCCTTTGGTGGAGCTGAACTGAGGAGAGGAATCACAGAGGGAAGGGTTCTATACTGCTCACCCTTCCATTCATCTTGCTTCAGAAATCAACCCCCATCCCTCTACCACAGCACCACCAATCACAAATCCTAAAAGTCATTTCACTAGATTCATTTATCCAGCCAGGTGGCTGGAATGCCGAAGACGTTTGCAGTAATTCTTGCATGCCAGGAATGGTTTCCTGAAAATGAAATAGTGCAGAGTCCAAGATTCAGCCTTACAGAAGCTTTCCCTAAGTCTGAAGTTGTTTGCAGTTGTGGTCTTGAAGTCAATGGAGTCTATTCTTCGTGCTGAAAGACTACCCCATTTTGAATGAGGCACCCTCAAGCCCTTTCTCCACTTCTCTGATACCGTAGATACCAGTTTTCCCCCAAGTAGAAATAGACCTAATTTAGAGAATCTATTCTGTATTTGGAAATAGCATCTCTGGACATCAGACTCTTTTCTTCTACTGGCTAAAGAAGCATATTTCCCAGTTAAGTTTAAAGGTAGAGCTCTTACATACCACTCCACAAACAATAGGATTCATTTGTTGTGGGATGGTATTGATATTAACAGCCATTCATTTACAACTTTATACTCATGGTTACTGGCTGTTCTGCCATAGTCCAGGGGGGGAACATATCTCCAGAACTGGACTAGCTGTAGATCCTTCGTGTCCCTTCATTTATACTAGTGTCTCAGAGAAAAAGCACTTCAGCTGCTGGCATCTGATCTCCAGCTCCCTGATAAAAATCAGGCTAATATTTACTAGGGCTCAGCCCACAAAGGTGTCATTGGTGAGGGGGAAGCTTTATGTGATGGGTCTGAGGATGGTTCTGCCATGTATTGGGTCTTCCCTGAAGGTGTGTTCACACAACTCATTCACATGTTGAATATTATAGAAGCTTGATATGTTTTGGCTTCCCTCTTTCCATTGCTGTTGCTTGATTATGATAATAAAGCCTCAGTGGAGACAGTGGACACAATAGTAATATCAAACAGGTTGTTGCATAATAGTTGCATTCAATAAATAAAGGCATAGTTTTATGCATCTAGCTGTTCTTGAAAAAGAGCAGTTTCTGTCAGAGCTCTCTCAGTGCCACCTACCTCACAGGGTGTTTGTTGTGGGGAGGGGAAGGGAAAGGAGTTTGTAAGCTGCTCTGAGACTCCGAGTGAAGGGCAGGGTATAAATCCAATCTCCTCTTCTTCTTAATGGGGATTCTACACTGAATAATTGTGGTGGTGGGGAATTATCTCACCTTGCATTTTTTCTGCCTTTTGAGAGCTTGCTGTGTAAGAGTTCATTTTAGATGTAAATTGTATGTAAAATGTTAATTTGTTTTTCCTACTTTTGCATCTCAAGAAACTTTCTGCCTTCTGCTCCACTCCAAAAGTAATCAGATGCATGACCAACACACCAGTGATTGTACGAGAAGGGGCCACAGTTTACGCTACAGGGACACATGCTGAAGTGGAAGATGGGAAGCTCTTAGAACAGCTGATGGCCAGCGTCGGCTACTGCACTGAGGTGGAAGAAGACCTGATTGATGCTGTCACTGGACTGAGTGGCAGTGGACCCGCTTATGTATGTGCTCTTTCTTTAAGTAAGGGGACTTACTGGTAAAAGTGCAGAAACCATACTAGCAGGGGCTAGATTGTCACAGGACTGCAGTAGTTCTGCCCTGAGGCTTCATAGAGACCCTTCCGGTCTCCAGAATGTCATCAGAGCCACTCACTTCCAGGCTGGTTTGTTCAAATCCGTAACTGGTCAACAAGTTGAATCCATTTACAGCTGGTGTTTGGGAGGCTCTGCTTTAGTTATGGCTGACCTTTGGATGGAAACAGTCTATAGGATGAAGCTGCTTATTTTCAGGCTGGTGAGCATGGTATATATGGGCAACTATTGTTGGGGAAGATGAGTTTTCTGTTCTTTAGGATGCTTCTCCTGGCTCAGCAGCAGCTTGTCCAGTTAATTAAATGAGATAGCATCTCCTTTATAGGGAACTTCTCACCTTTGGAGATTCCAGCCTTATTTCCCCATGACACTACTTCTGATTTCACAGGCATTCACAGCCCTAGATGCCCTGGCAGATGGAGGGGTGAAGATGGGTCTTCCCCGCAGGCTAGCTGTCCGACTGGGAGCTCAAGCCTTGCTGGTCAGTATCTTGTTTGTTTCTTGTTCAAGGCATGTTCATATACTGCCCCTTGGTCTGCAATATTTGGTTGAAAACATCCCTCCAGCATATTAATCTGAAATCTACATTCTTTGAAGATTATGAAAGTTTCCTGCACCCTCAGATTAGTTACCTAAATGGTCTTCTCGCTGCAGTGTCAAGAGTAGAAGGATGGCAGGAAGGGCCAGTAGGATGTATGTGGTGATTCAGACCTGTGTGATGCAGAGGAATCTTCCAGTCCTTCAAGTATCTTGTGCATTGGATGTTCTTGCCTTTTGTAGCTGGAATCGCCTTGAGTGGTTTTCATCGAAAGGCACTTACCGTAACCAGTTAAGTCAAGATGGGTAGCCGTGTTGGTCTGTCTGTAGCAGTAGAAAAGAGCAAGAGTCCTGTAGCACCTTAAAGGCGAACAAAATTTGAGGCAGGGGATGAGCTTTCGTGAGTCACTCCTCCCTTCTTTAGGTATCTGAGGAAGTGAGCAGTGACTCACGAAAGCTCATACCCTGCCACAAATGTTGTTCGTCTTTAAGGTGCTACAGGACTCTTGGTCTTAACCAGTTAAAAAACATTGAAGAGACAGGGTACAGCTGTTGTTGCAGTTTCCCATGAGCTTTTTTTTAACTCCTCTTTCCAAAACTGCAGGGAGCTGCCAAGATGCTCTTGGATTCTGAACAGCATCCTGGACAGCTGAAGGACAATGTGTGCTCGCCAGGGGGTGCTACCATCTATGCCCTGCACTTCTTGGAGAGTGGTGGTTTCCGATCGCTGCTCATCAATGCTGTGGAGGCATCTTGCATCAGAACGAGGTACACCAATATATGGAGGGTGAAGAGCAGCCCACGCGTGGCTTGGTCTTATCTGCTAACGAAGTGTTTGCTTCAATAGGGAACTGCAGTACATGGCTGACCAGGAGACTGTCTCCCCAGCTGCCATCAAGAAGACTTTAATGGATAAAGTGAAGCTAGAGTCTTCTGCTGCCAACAAAGTCAGCCTGTTCAACAAAAACAATCCTGGCAACAAGAAGTTCTGAGAAGACTCTGGGCCTCCCATGGCCATGCTTTCTTTTGTCTTTCTAGGGAATCTGTAGTTCTAGACATTTCCGGGAGGCCCTGTCCTGGATTCAGGGTTGCAGAAAAGTGGTTTTAGCTTCCAAGTGAGATTATCAGAGGCTAGTAGGGACCAGCATTTCTGCAGGTGAGGGGAGGCAACATTGCCAACACTTCCGACGGGGGTGGGTGGGGTGGCCATGTGCTTCCCGTTGTAGTAGTTATTGTAGAGTTGTTCTGCTTTTTTATGCTGCCCTTTCTCCAGGGACCTCAGGAGCAATGCATGTGGGTTAGGCCTCTTCCTGTCTCCCGTTTGTTTTCACAACAAACATGTGAGGTAAGGTAAAGAAGCAATTGCTGGGCAGGTCACCTCAGAAACTTCATGGCTAAACAGGGACTTAAATCTAGATCTCCTGGCCCCAAACTGATACTCTTATCTTTTGCACCATGCTCTGTTAGGCTGGTGGGCAAAAACTAGTATTCTTAATTTAAGGAATCAGACTGGAACCCGAGCTGAGACCGGGAAGGGCTGGTTGATGCTTGTTGCCTGTGGCCTATCTCATTCTCATCACAGCAGGGCTGCTGGCCAGTACGTATGTCATTCTGGAGCCTTGTTTATAATCTTTATTGTTCGCTACACACCTTTGCTATGCCTCACTTCATCATTTAATATCTGGAATCCAGCTGCACAGTGCCTACTATGCTTCTCACAACAGTACAGGAAGAGTTTGCAGTGTTGCTCCATCTGCCCCTCTCCATCTCCCTACCTTCTGAATCTTGGTGAGGTGGGGAAGCTCTTGTATTAGAAGTGGGTGTCCTCTGAGATTACATGACAAGAGTTGGCAGAAGTACAGCTCCAGTCTCTCACTCTAAGGCTGGCTAGGGAGTGATCCATTTTTAAATTGTTCCAGTTCATGCCGATAAGGGTTGAATAACTGGTTCAGCACACCTGTGGAACTTATTCAGTTTGGTTTGCAGGGGAGTAAAAACAATGAATAGAATAGCAGTGAGTTACAAGTGGTGATGGAGCAAATTTAATGGGTCAACTGTTAACTATAACCAGTGAGCAATGTTCCCTCTAAGCTGTGGAGTCTTGTGAGCAAAAATTCTACCTTGTGAGCTACTGACATTAAAGTTGTGGGCGAGGGATTTGGCTACTGCATAAATTAGTATGGAGAGAAAAATGTGTCTGCTTTAGGCATGTGTGGCTACTGTCGCTCTGGGAAGCTTTATGTGGAATCTCTCAGGTTCAGTCTTTCTAGACTATTCATGTTGCAGTCTGTAATTTATTTCAAGGTGTTTAGAGGCTGAATGGTGAAACTTTTTTCTTTCACCTCCCCAAGGAGAAATCCTGCATTTCAGGACCTTGCCTCTCCCACCTCCCTGTACGCAACTACTGAAGAGTGCATCTGGTGGGTGAGGTAGCAGGGAGGGGAGGCAATGCAAGGGTCCAGAATGTAGAAGGCTGCTGTCATCTGTGATGGAGTAGTGCCTGTGCAACAGAAGTAGGATAGGAGGCTAGACAGAGACCTGGTTGCATTGACCACGATAGCTTTGACTTCAAGGTACATTAACCACCAAAGATATTCAGAACATAACCCAGGTTGTCTGAGGTCACTAACGGAAGCTAACTGCAAGGTCACTTTTGGGTTGTGATAAACAGCTTGGGAACACAGGGTTGGATCCAAATAGCACTTTCACTTAATCTTACCCAATGCTCCTCCTTGCTACATCCCCCTTCCTTACCTGGCTTTCGTTCATGCAAGTCCTGTGATCCACAGCACAGATGTTTTGGGTGGTCAGAGAGGACCCCTCCTGCTCTGCTCACTAGCAGAAAAGCTGGTTGGATCTAACCCTCAGTATGTTGAGCTTTACTGTAGGGCAGTTTCTAGGACACTTGCTGTATTTCCTAGTTTTATTCTGTGTCTGTGTAAGACATTCCTCTTTGGAGAATAAATTCTACAGTCTAAGACTGGTCTATGTTGTATTTCTTGCCATTGGCAGGTTTTTTTGGGGGGTGGGGTTAGACAATAAGACTCCTCTTGCATACATACGGAAATTCAGTGACTTGTCTACAGTACAGGTTAGGGTTGACTTCAGGTTCATTACTGAAGATGACCAATAGATAGGTCTGATTTGTATAGCTTGAGGAAACCACATTCACAGCACAGTGATACTTTTTAAAAAAACATGGATGCTAACCAGTAGCTGCTGTAAACAATGCCATTTTCATGGACAATGTGTCCAGCCAGAGTCATTATATTTAGAGATGTATTCATATCTAAAGGACATCAGTACCGATGAGCCAGCTACAGTCTTTAGCTTGGCATCTCTGAGGTGTTTTGTCATTAAAGGTTACCTAAAAAGGTAAAGGTTCCCGTGCTCGAAAGCCAGTCGAATCTGACTCTAGGGTTGCGGTGCTCATCTCCGTTTCAAAGCCTGTCCGAAGACATTTCCGTGGTCATGTGGCCGGCATGACTAAACACCAAGGCGCACGGAATGCTGTTACCTTCCCACCGAAGTGGTACCTATTTATCTACTTGCAATTTCTTGCTTTCGAACTGCTAGGTTTTCTGTGGTTTCTCCTACTTTATGGGATGGGCTTTGGGGGGGGGGGGGACAGGGACAGTGTCCTTGGAACATTTTAGGAGGCTCTGTAAGGCTATTTTATTTACCAGAGTTTTTAATAGAGAGTAAGTTGCAGGCATTTTATTTATTGATGGTGGGAAATTGGTGGTTCATTTGTAACTTTTTAATTATGTATTGCAAGTCACCTTAAGCCATGCAGCATGATAGAATATAAATGTTTAAATAAAATAAATGTACTTTTCCATTCTTCCTGATCGGAGCATCTGTGAAACAAATAATTTTGCTATTCCCCATTCACTAGAGCTTGGTCCAATCACAGATACCACCTTACTGTTTGGTGGTAGTGGTTAAGATCCAGTTTGGTGTAGTGGTTAAGTGCACGGACTCTAATCTGGGAGAACCGGGTTTGATTCCCCACTACTCTACTCGCATCTGCTGGATGACCTTGGGCAAGCCATAGTTCTGTCAGAGGTGTTCTTGAAGAAGAGCACTTTCTATCAGAGCTCTCTCAGCCCCACCTACCTCACAGGGTGTCTGTTGTGGGGAGGGGAAGGGAAAGGAGTTTGTAAGCTGCACTGTGACTCCCTTGGGTAGTGAAGGGCGGGGTATAAATCCAATCTCTTCTTCTACTGTAGAATTCTTAAAATAAAATTGCATGGAGGACTGAGAAGTTAGAGTAACTCAACTTATATCTGATCATGTGTTCAAAACTATAAATCCCTGCATCTCCCGCTGAAATCAGTGGGGTTATGCATATCAAACTCTGTGTTGGATCGTGGCCTGTGTTTTTAAATATCTGTTGTCTTTATTAGCACTGCAATCATTTTTGGTGTATTTCATATTCATGTAAAGTTGGTTGTCATTGCAGAAATGTTTTAAAAAGAGTTTTTGAACAGTTTACTATTTGTCTAAAATATCCATATGTCATCTTTCTCCTGAACCAGGAGTCAAACCAGTTTACAAAACTTAAAAAGATCCAAGGAGTCTTTAATAGCTGAGCTAATAGTCCAGTAGTTTTTAATAGTTTATAGCTCAATAAACTGTTAGTCTAGTGTAGCATAACAAAACAGAGGACCACCAGCCATTTAAAGATTGGCAACATCTATTCCAGCATACGTTTTTGTGAGTCAGAGATCACATCTTCAGATGTAATGGAAAGGAAGAAAATTCTCTCTATATGTACACACATTTATTTCCATTGCATCTGAAGAAATGAGCTGTGACTCATGAAAGCGCATGCTGGCATAAATATTGTTAATCTTTAAGGTGCCACTGGACTTCTGTTTTGTCTTTTCTATAGGGCATGGCTCCCCAACCTTTTTCAACCCGTGGGCAACTTTGGCTGCTGTGTGAGGTGGAGCCAACCACTGTCAGGGTATAAGGTCGCGCATAACTAATAGTAATTCTCCAACATTTCAGGCAGTTCTTTTAAATGCCTTTTAAAATATATTGTATAAAATACTTTTCTTGCATACACAGTTTACCTTCAGTCAAACAGTAAAGACAGTTGTGTTGTGGTGACGGCTGCTGCCAAAGCAACTTTTAAATATCCGCACTGAAATCAGATCGCCAATGGCCGCTCAGAACCCCTGCTGGGCAAAAGCCTCATCTGTCCCGGCCCACTTTCTGAAACACTTGGCACCCAGAAAGGTGTCTGGGTGTCAGGGGTCCACAGGCACCATATTCGGGACCACTGCTATAGGCCAAAATGCGTTTCCAATATAATAACAGCCATCAAAGAAAAGAAAGGTTTCAGCTCCTCTCATCTATATATCTAATAGCCAAGGTGCCACCCCCCCCCCCACGTGCGGATATCTAAATCCACACCTGGGGAGCAGGGAAATTTTCCTGCACATTTGGGGCAATCCCCAGATGTGCAGAAAAATCTAAAAACTGTAAAAAAACTATAGGGGGCATACTTAAATCCCCCCCAAAAGTAAAAGAGTGTTCCCTGCGCATGCGCAGGGAATACACTTACCCCTATTGTTGGCAGTGGCGACAGCGGGCAGCTCAGAGCATGCAGCAGCCAGTGGTGTGGGTGGGGGGGCAGGGGCTCAGACTAAGGGTATATGAAAAGGGGACTGTGGGATGGGTGAATGTCCACTGACACCCTTGCTCTTGCTCAAGGTCAGTCCATGACCTTTTCTGCAGCCTTTTCTCTCTGTCTTTCTTTCGAGCAACCAGAGTAATTGTTCTCTGTGCAATATAGAGAGCCAGCTTTATTTCTGCTATTGCTATTGATGGGGTGGGTCCTGGTGGTAACCTGTCAGAATTCTACAGAATGCAGTTGACCAATTGTTTGGTAAAATCACGTGATGAGGCCTGTGTTATGGGGCTTTTCCTAAAGAATCCCTTAAACATCTTTTTAAACACCCCTGTGTTTTCACATTGTGTCCTTTTTTAACCAGTGTTCAACTCTGTCCTTTATTACATCTACGCAGTTTATGAAGCCTTTGCCCCATCCCCATGGTTGGATATTTACCTGTTTAAAGATAGGAGGTACAACCATTTTCTGTTAAGTCATATATTAAGACAATATATGCTATTCAGCCATGAAGCAGAAATTCATAATAAACAATTGCACAGTCTAGGTTAATCAGCAGGTAAAGTTATTTGGTCAAATTAGTAGATAGTTTGACAATGAAATGGGCAAAACAGTACCGTCCCAAGCAGGGAGTTATATCCTTCTAAGTCTGCTAGAGTCAGTGGATTTAGGAGGATGTAGTGGCTATAAGAATCTTGTAGAAATCAGTAACTGCATACTGAAAGTTCACTTCTGAGTGCAATGTTAATTTCTCATTTCTCATTTCACAAAGATACGTTTCCAACTATGAAGTAGGAAAGGTTGAGATAGTGGAAGACAGATTTTCTTGAATTTTCAATGATTGTATTAATCATTAAAAATTATGAAAAGTGTCTGATTCTGAGAGAACAGGAAGAGGGAACAAAATGGTCAGTGTGGCATATAGCCAATACTGGATCAGTAACAGAAAATGAGTAATAAGAATAGAATTGAGCAATATTGAAAAGGGAGTGGCATCTGCTTTTCCATGGCAAAAGAAAAATGTACTATTGAACATACTTCAGTGTAGTAATGATGTATAATAGAATAATACAAGAAGAATGAAAATCCCACACATAGGAGCTGTCCAGCAAAAAACCCACCAGCGTTGTTGCTTACTTGCTCACAGCATCCCTAAAGTACTGAGCTGAGCGAGTGGTTACAGCCTCTTTGTCTGTCTGTGGCTCAGGCTATGGTGTAAGTCGGCTAGAGAGACAGTGGCGGTGCACCCGGGACAAAGCGACAAGAACAGCTTGTAGGACGTTAATGAGATCCTATGAGATGGCAGTCAAAGCCGCGAAGGGAGAGTACTGTGCAGTCACGATTGCATCTGTGAGCTCACGCCCAGCCCAATTATTTAGAATGATTTGGTCTATGACTGCCCTGCCACAAGGCAGACCAAATGTTAGGGAACTGGACATTAGCTGTGAGGCTTTTGTGAGCTACTTCGCAG